ATCAAATCAATCAGGAAGGAGATGGATGACAAAGGTACGTGGTACCCCCTTTTGTGTCCCACCTCTCTGACAATCGAGGAGGACCCGTGGACACTCATGCATCCCACCACCGCTACAGACTACGTGGTTGGTGGCGACACCGCGCCGGGAGTAAAAAGGGCAAAGCTGGAACAACAACTGCGACGGCTCGGTGCGGCCTCATCTTGCAGATTTTTCGGGGGCGCGCGCGATTGGCGTCATTACGCAACGATTTACCTCTACGGGGGGGGGGTAATCGTGATGATCGGAATGCGTCGTCTTTTTTGTGATCGCAGAGGTGGAGGCCTACTGCGCCGTGGTGAGCGCCTTTCGCGCGCAGGGTGAGCTCACGTGGAAGAAGGCGCAGCTGCTGCAGGACCTGCGCCAGGTCCTCCGGGTGCCCGAGGAGCGGCACAAGATGGAGCTCAAGCGGGTCACCGACGACGAGACCCTCGCCGAGCTCGCCAAGCTCTCGGCCGGGTAACAAACGCCTCCTCTTTCCTCCCTTCCTCCTTTCCTCCGCGCCGCCGCTTGGCCCCCTCTCTCATCTCCTCCTCCTCCTCCTCCTCCTCCTGCTGCTGCTGCTCCTCCCTCCGCTGCGCAGGCTGCACACGCCGGGCGACGACGACGCGAAGAAGTCTCGGTGAGCTGCCTCCTCCTCTCCCTGTGGTGTGAGGTGTGGCGCGCGGTGAATCATATATTATATTATATTATAGTATATATATTATATATACTGACCGCACGAATGGATGTAATGGCCACCATTGGTCCACCACACATCACACACACACACACACACACACACACACACACACACACACACACACACACACACACACATCACACACCCATGTATACACACACCACGTACAGGGCCGGTCGCAAGAAGCCGGCGGGGAACGCGTGGGGCGGGGACAGCGGCAACAGGGACAAGACGCTGCCCTACCTCGACGCCGTCGTGGTGACGCCGTCGAGCCAGCCGCCCAACCTGAGCAAGATTCCGGCGGTGGCTGCGGCCAAGGGAGGCGCCAAGGGAGGCGCGAAGGGAGCCGTGGCGCCCAAGCCCGCCGGGGCCACTGCCGCAGCCTCGGCCAAGCCCGCCGGTGCCGCCGCCAACCGTAAGCGCAAGGCGCCCTCGACGGCGTCCACGAGCGCCGCGTCGACGAAAGGCGGCGCGCCGGTGGCCAAGAAGCGAGCGACCAAGCCGACGAAGGGCGCCGCCGCCAACGTCAAGGCCGACGCCGACGCCTCCTTGATGGAGCTCAGCAGTGCCGAGCTCGGGGAAGAGAACGAGGCCGCCGCCGCGCTCGGCGGTGATGGCGACGATGACGAGGAGCAGGACGAGGCGCACATCAAAGAAGTCGAGGTACCGTGCAACGCCCACCACCCTCCCCTCCCCTCCTCTCCTCTACAAATCCGCACACCTGCCTTGCAACAACGCGCGACTCAATGCATCGATGCAACACGCGCGCGCATCGCCCACAGGAGCAGCTGCGCGCCAAGCAGGAGCAGTTGAAGGCCGAGTTGGCCGCCCTGCAAGCGGAGATGGAGGAGGACGACGACGAAGAGGAGGAGGAGGAGGAACTGGAAGAGGCGGACGAGGGTCCGCAGCATCAGGGAGAGGGGGAGCAGGGTGCGGGGGATGGCGACGTTGAAGGCGACAGTGCGCTCCGCGAAGGAGCTGAAGTGGAGGCGGCGGCAGCGGCGGCAGCGGCGGCGCAGGAGGTGGCGATGGAGTAACCACCGTGGCGGGTTCCTTGTGCGAGCGGCTTTTACACTACAATCAATCATCCTTCCGTACCACCTCTCGACAGACTTGTCTGGCGCTTTGGGTCGCTGCAACACGCGCACGCGTGGGCGGAAGAGCTGATGGTTTCTCTCACCAACGTTGTTGAGTAGAGGAGCTCCTTTGCTCACCTTTCAGAAAGGCCGCGTGGATCACAAAGAGCAGAATGAAGCGCAGACCAGAAGAGCACGCTGGTGGTGGCACAAACACGGTGCAACCGGCCACGCCCATTTTACTCTGCTGTGCGAGCCTATCACATCATTGTCGGTCGTGGGTCCTTTCCATTTCCTCGCTCTCGCTGCCGCCCTTCTCTTCTTCTTCTCCTTCTTCTCGTGTTGGTTGTCCTGTCCGCGCGGAAGGCGCAAGACGCACGCCCCCTCCGCCCTCCTCAACAATTACAGGCGCTCGCAGCGGGCGGGGGCGGGCTTCCATTTTCTGGCTTCTCGGGAAAAACGACGGCTGTTGTCGTGTCGTTGGTCGTGTCGTGTCGTGTCGTGTCGTTGGTCGTGTCGTTGGTCGTGTCGTGTGTTTTTGGTGGGGAGAAGAAGGTGAGCCACGACCCCGACAGGGCGAGTGGGGGGTGGTGGAGAGGAGGGAAAGGCGGTGACAGTACTGTTCTGCTTCTGGATGATGGGGTCGATGCCGGGCAGGGCAGCGGCGACTTGTCGGAAGAGGGGCTTCACGTTGTAGCCCGCCTTGGCCGACGTTTCTATGAACATTGCCCCGAACTCCTTCGCCTTCGACTCGCCCTCCTCCGCCGACACACACCTGCGGCAGCGGCAGCGGCGGCGGAGCGCGCGCCACGTGTCAGCCATCGCACGCACAGTGGCCGCCTCATCGGCATCGGGCCGCGGCGGCCGTCGAGAGGTGGCGGTACCGCTTATCGGCGAGATCGGTTTTGTTGCCCACGAGCATGAGGATGACGTCGTTGCCGCGCTCGGCTCTGATGTCCTCCACCCACCTTGCCGTATCCAGGAACGTCGTCCGGTCTGATGGCACCGCACACACCACATCGCACACGCACACACCGGATTATTAGCTCATCATAGCCACCACACACGTGCACGTGTGTGCGGTGGTGGTGGTGGCTGGTGGTTACTTGTGATGTCGTAGACGACGATGGCCACTGACGAGTCGCGTATGTAGCTTGGAATGAGCGAGCGGAACCTCTCCTGCCCAGCTGCCGAGGCAACCACGCGTGAGCACCGGTGACGCAGATTCCAACGCACCAGGCCAGGGGCGGGTTGTTGTTGTTGTTGCTTCGGCCGCTCATCACCACAAATCGCGAGAGGGGCGATGGAGGAGGAGGAGGAGGAGGGTGAGGCCACGTACCGGTGTCCCACAGCTGAAGCCGAATGGTCCTGTCCTCCAAATACATGGTCTTGGAGAGGAAATCGATTCCAATGGTGGCCTAACACAAAGGGGGAAGGGGGAAGGGAAGGGGTACGACGCCCACATCGAAGAATTGATTGTGAGATTTTTGTTTTGGTCCAAAAAAGAAAAGCAAGATCGGCAGTGTTGAAGGATGGAATTTGCGCGGCACGAACCTGGTATGTGTTGTCAAACGTGTCGTACATGAACCGAGTGATTATGCTCGTCTTCCCTACGGACTGATCGCCCAAAAATACGAGCTTATACTTGGCCAGTGGATTGGAGCCCGCCATCTTCGTGTCGCGACCTTCTGGCCCCTTACTTCTCGTCTTCTTTGCACACAAACGAAAATTCTGCAGAAAGGAAAAGCCTCAAGCAATTATCCCGGAAAATAGTCTGTTAAAAAAAACTTTACCCCAAACCACAGGTGAATGTTGCAAGCAGCAGGAGGAAGGATGTCTGCACACTTCTTCACCTGATGGGTGGTGTCCCAACAACCACAGCTTCCACTTTCATGCCTGCCTGTGGAGGAGGCCAGAGTCATGTGAATGTTGTGTTCTGAATATCCACAGGCATGGGTGTGATATCTTTGATTGAGCCAGTTCCCTCTAATTGTTGATCCTTCTTGGGTGAGATTTGACAATTTTGATTTATAGGGCAGTTTTTACAATATGGATCTGCATGTGTGATTTTGACATGTTAGACCACTGCTTATAAGTGATATTGAGAGTTGAGATGAAAATGATTTCATATAAAAACTAGGTGTTTTCAAGTATGTGCTCAATGACAAATTGCCACCATGCAAAATGCCACATGTGAAGTCACCAAGCAATGTACCTGGCACAAAGTGCTCATGCTGAGCAAGGGCTCATAACCTGTTGTGATTGTAGAGTGCCAGTGTAAGATGAAATATGAGAGTGAGTGTCTCCCAACCTCTTACACATCTGTTATTCAATAAACAATGTGTATGAGTGTCCACACTGTTGCCATGTTCTCCAACTGGTGCCCACTTGTGAGTGGTTAACTCACAGCAGTGTGGTGGTCGCCATCAGCCCCCCTCGTGCAACACCAACCCAGATCAAATTCAATAGTATATTGTTGCTGGCAGGAGGGGGAATAGAACTCACTTCATCTTCACCGCCATCAATAGAGGGCGGCGACCCAGCTGACCCAGCTGGCGAGCTGCGAGGCCGACGAGCCGTGGCCGACGATGGTGGTCATCACCGATACCCAGCCGCCGTCCTGGCCGCCGTCATAGCCAAAGTCGTAGAAGTCCGGCCCCACGCCGATGAACTTGCCCGAGCCCTGCGTGTAGACCCACACGGCGCAGCTGGCGGTCTCGCCGTACATGCACTTGAGGCTGGCCTGCTCGGCGGGCAGGTCGTTGTCCAGGTACCACGTGCTGGTCGAGTCGAGCTCCCCCACCTGGGCCGGTCCGTTGGCAAAGAGAGACGAGGCCGCCCCAGCGGCCGACTTGGACCAGGATCCTCCTCCTCCTCCTCTCTCGATGGGCACTGCGACGGCCACGTTGGACAGTTCGAGTTCAGTGAGTTGCTGGGCCACGCTGTTGGTGTCCTCGCAGAACACGGCCACGCCGCCGCTGCGCACCCAGGCGCGGAGGGGCTCGACGGAATCGTCGGGGACTGTGCTGGCGCCCTCGGCGAAGATGAGGGTCCTGGCCTGGGCGAGGGCGGTGGTCCAGCTGCCCTCGTTGTCGGACTGGGTGACGAGGTAGGGGCTGTAGTTCAGGGACTCCAAAAAGGCGCGCAAGTTGCTGGCCTCGCCCCACTCGCTGCGATCCTCAGATTCGCTGATGTCCACGTACTCGACGTCATAGACGAGGGCGACCTTTTTGGCGGTGGCGGAGCCGACGGTCGAGGAGAGCAAGAGAGCGCAGACCAACAGCGCGGCCGCGAGACTGCGGGAGGTGTTCATCATCGTCATCGGTGCCTCTTGCGCCCTCGTCGAAGTAAACCCCCAAAAAAGGTCTGTCGGTTATTTCCCCCTTGCGTTGGCCGCGGAAAAATGTTATGGAAAAATATTTTCCTTTCTTCTTTACTCCGAGTCCCGCTTGAATGGGGCACCTTCGCGGGAGTACTGCCGAGCGCTGGTGCGCCGCGTACTTTCGTTGTAGGCTCCGCTCCGATCCACACAACGCCACTCTTGCGCTGACTCAGCTGTCTTATAAGACGTCGTCTTCTTCATTCTCTGCTGCTGCTGCGGCTGCGGCTGCGGCTGTTGTTATGTATGTACACCGCCGCCACCGCCAACTCGGGCATACTGGAGGATCATGTCCTCCTCGAACCCGCCGTGGCCGCTGCTGGAACTGCTGTCGTCGTCCGTGGAATCCGAAGAATCCTCGCTCATCCGCCCAGGCCCACCAACTCGGCCGCTCTTGGCCGCAGCGGGCCGGCGCGCGATGCTGGCCGGGAGGCCACCGTCCGGCGGCGGCAGCGGCAGCAGCGGAGCCCGCGCGTCGTTCTCCACGAGGCACTTGTGGTAGTTGTCCAGCGTGGCAAAGATCTCGTGAAAGTCCGGCCGGTCGTGCGGCGCACTGGCGAAGCATTTCTCCACCAGCCCTCGCAACACCGGGTCGCAGTCCTCTGGCGTCTGTTGTCGCACACGCACAGTGCGGGTGTCAGCCCAATCACCACCATGGTCGGAAAATGTGTGTCTGTGTGTCTGTGTCGTGTGTTGGTGGTGGGCGACTTACCACGAGGCGCTTCCCTTCGTTGACCACCAGGAGCGCCACCTGCATGGCGGGCATGTTGCCCCAGGGCATCTCGCGCGTCAGCAGCTCCCACAGGAACACCTGCAACAACGGGTTTGTGTTTGTGTTTGTGTTTGGGTTTGGGTTTGTGTTTGTGTTTGTGTTTGGGTTTGGGTTTGGGTTTGGGTTTGGGTTGGTTTGGTTGTTGTGTGTGTGTGTGTGTGTGTGTGTGTGTGTGTG